TCCTCGGCCAGGGGCGCGCGCAGCAGGGGCGAGGCGGGGTCCGGGCTGCAGAGCCCACCGCCTTTAGCCTGGGGTCCCTCCGTGCCGTCGGGGTTTGCGGAACGCTGGAGAGAACACGACTTACCTGAGTGCCAGGTGAACACCTGGGCGCGCTGGCCACAGGGAGCCAGACTAGGGTGCCAGGGTGGAGCCTGCGAGGACCAGGCTGCGGTGGGTGGGGAGGGACCTTGGGGCGAGGTGCGAGGAACTAGAGCGGTGGGCGGGGCTTAACATGTGGGCGTGGTCTAGGGGGACTCCCGCAGCAGGTGGGTGAGAGTTTAACTCCAGAGGAAGATTGAAGTCCTGCAAGGAAAGAGGGGGAGTCCTGAGTTGAACCGGGGGAACCTGGAGTGAAGGGGCGGGGAACTGAAGGGCAGGTATGGCCTACGAGCCGGAAGGGCGAACCCAACCTGGTCCAGGAGCCTTGTAAGGGTTGGGGGCGTGGCTTAGGTGTGTGGGCGGAGAGAAGGCGGAGCCCAGGGAAGGCGGGGTCTAACTGGGTGGAGAAGGACGGAGCGAGAAAGCTGGGCCAATGAGCTGGGGGCCGGCCTGGACCCGGGCCAATGAGACAAGGGGGCGGTGCCAGAAACCAATATGGCGGGCCAAGCGAGCCCAGAAGTGGGAGGAGGGGGCAGCCTGCGCCACCGCAGAGATTGGGAGGGCGGCTGGGGCTATTGCTGCGGCCTGAGGAGGCCTCAGGGGTCCCCGGCCGCCATCTCCCGGGAGTCCCCCGCCCGGGAGCGCGCGACCCACCCTTCGGCCTGGCTCCAAGCGATCTAACAGCACCTTCACCCAGCTCTGGTTTCAACGGTGGGTCCTGCAGCCGCGACCCCGCGCTAGCCTCCAGTTGGCCCAGTGGGCCCTTCGGCCCGCCCCTGCACAGCGGTGATTGGACTCTGGCGGTCATTTTGACGTGCAGGCGACAGGTCCCGCCCGAGAGCCCAGCCGCAGGTGCCGGGACCCGGGCTCCGCAGCAAGTGGTGGAGGGGATACTCTTGTCTCCTCGGAAGACCCGGCCCGTTGCGTCACTGGGACTGTGGCCGGAAGAGGAAGTGGGCCTGGGCCGGGCACGAGGCTTCTTCCTCCTCGTTTTGCAACCTTCCCCCAAGATCCTGGGTATTTCACGGTCCCTTATTTAATCTTTATAACAGCCCTATTACGTGTAAGTGCTGTGATCACACTCCTGCATCAGAGGCCACGAACCTGCAATTTGGGGATTAAGTCATTTGCCCAAAGTCATACAACTGGCTAAGCAGCAATCCAGGATTTTGAGAAAAGCAGCAGCCTTGAGCTCCACCTCCTCGCCTTTGGCAGCCATTGGCACGCTTTTGGCTTTCTGTTGGTATCGTGGGCACCTCAGTGTGCTTATGTGCCTACTTCTTATAATAAATTTCAGAGGGGAAGGGAGAGGGAGAGATAGAAACATCAATGATGAGAATCATTGATCGGCTGCCTCCTGGACTCCCCACTGGAATGTGCCCTGACTGGGAATGGGACTGTGACCTCCTGGTTCCTAGGACGACACTCACCCACTGAGCCACGCCGACTGGGCTGGGCCTCCCTCTTCATTATCAATTTGGGATATTATTCATTGACTCATGTCACCACCACTGGACGTGCTTTTTCCACCTGTAGTTTTTCTACTGGTTCCTCTAATTTGAAACACTCCACTCATCCCTTTTTGTCATCTCTCACCCTCCCTTCCACCTTCCACTGTTAATCTTACCTTTGTATTGTCATTGCTAAACATTATACTGTCCTGGGACCATAATTAAGTCCCTGGGTTGTTACTTAAAGGGAATGAATAGTGGTTTATATGGTTCGGCCTCAGTAAACAATGCACTCAGTTAAGTAGTTGTCTATGATTACACTGCCTGTATTGTACAAATGTTTGTTTTCCCTGCACTTAACCTTTCTTTTCTTGCATGATTAGACCGTCATAGCTTTAGTTTCTTTTACATTTTCTATAAAATCAATTCTCTTGACCACTTGACAACCCTGATATCCCTCCTGAGCTCTCTAATCTTGCTGCATGACTGGTGGGTTTTTGGGGACATTACTTCTTCCTCTGCTACTAGTACACAACACTGACTCTCACTCCACCACCCCTAACCCTCAGCTCTACCCTCAAACAAAAAGACAGCAGTAGTCACAGGAAAGTAATTTTATATTCAGTACAAATGTTTATTTTTGCAATGAGAACTGCACAAAAAAAAAACCTTTAGTATATAAGTGAAAAGTCTACGAATTCCCTTCTACAAATGTCTAAAGTGTTTAATACAAGTCTCAGATTCACTGACATAATTATTGGCCAAGCGATCCGTGCATACAGTACAGTGGGGGCTTGTACACACCTCTCACTCTTGTATAGGACTAAGATTTCTAGTACTGTGGGAGGGACTGGGAAAATGGCCAGAGAAATTAAATAGATCCAAGTTCTAATTATAACCCAGTTAGAGAAACACCTATGAGGGAGGTGTGGAGAGGGCTATGGCAGAATTCACTCTTTAGAAGGAAGGCGGAGACAACCATTTCTCCAGCTAAATAGTCGGACTTGGCCTGGGGAAGTGTCAGAACAGAAATGAGGGAGGGTGTGGGATGAGATAGAAGCAACCCCAAAGAACCAAACTGTAAGTCTTACTTGAACCAGCACAGTGTTTATGAGGAAGAGCCTGGAGGGTGGGCAGGGGCACAGGAGGGGTGGAGGTGGGGGGCGGCTCTGGCTGGATGCCAGAACTGCACCTCTCTGGGAGGTTTGGGAGATCCCAAACACAATACACCGTTAAAGGGGGATGTGGATTAATAAACAGTGCTAGCAATGTTTCAATCAGTGTGTCTCTGCATACATATAAATGATATACTTTCATCTTTCATCCTAGGGGCTGCTCCTGGGTACCCAGCTTGCCTTGTGGCTACTGATGGGCACACAGACAAGGGTGGCCATCTGGTGGACTTTCTCTGGCAGGAATGTGTGGGTGTGCATCTGTGTGCATGTGAGAGAGGATCCTAGTTGGGAGGATGTACACTTATCTAAGAATATCTGATTAACCCTGAGCTTAAATGAAAAGAGTTAAGTAGAGGGAGACAAAGTGGGAGAAGTGACCCAAGTCCCCTGGTGAGTAGGGGACAAGGATGTAGGAGAATACTGTCTGGAATCTGGCCAGGTTCCCTGGAGCACACCACCACCTGTCTAGGAGGGAAGAATGGGTACCTGGACTCCCTGTCACAGCTTCAGCTTGGGATGGCAGGGAAAGACCATGGGAAATGGGCTAGATGGCCCCTGGTGGGAGTTATATAGACATGATTTGGGGTCTGGAGACTCCTGGGCCTCGCCTAGGTAACAGGTGGTTCACAAAGAAATGTCAGGGAGACACCAGCATTAAAAAAGAGAGATGTGTTTATTCCATGATCAGTACAGACCAAATGCATATTCACTGTATGAAAGTCAAACCAGTCACTGACTCCAGAGTATGGCCAACACTGAGGCACCAGTGTTGTGGTGTAGAGTGGGTTATCATGGCACGTGTAACCTCACCAAGGGCTCCAATTACAAAACTTAAAAAAAAAAGTGAGGGAAGTGCCCGCAGGTGGGCACTGAGCGGGTGCCAAGCCAGGAGCCTCTGCCTCAGGCTGTGGCCCTGGCACCCGCTTGTCCCCTAGCCCGACCCTTCCTTTTCTGGTAAAAAACAACTCAAACAGATTTGACATTAAAAACAAAGAAGCCAATGAATGGGGTTGGGAAAAGAAAACACAGCTTTCTGGTTTTGTAATTAAAAATAGACTAATAAAGTTTGAAACTGAGTACAATGTAGGCAGGTTTTTTTTGTGTTTTTTGTGTTTTGTGTTTTGTGGGTTTTTGAGGTTTTTTACACCAGTTTGGTGGAGTCACCAACAAACTTCAAACAAGGATATGCCAACTATGTTTCACTATACAGCCACAGTCACACACTACCCACAGCGCAGAGGCAGCTGCTGCCCAATGAGGAGAGGATTACACCATTTCAGAGATAAGCAGTGCCATTGTGTTTGGAGGAGAAGAATTAAAAATAAAATAGAATCCAACAAAAAATATATATATAGAAAAAAAACCCAGAAACACAGGTGGGAAGGAACTGACTTTGGTTGGTGGCCTCACTCACCAGGCGAGGCTGGCCCACACGCGCGTGACAGTCACCTCGCTCTGGATTGCCATGGACACACACACCTCCACGGCACTATTCCCTTTTGCACAAGCAAACACTTACAGAGAGCGGCTCTTGATTAAAGGCTTGTGGGGGGAGGGCAGGGGTGGGATCTGTTCAAGGCAAAGTCAGTGCCAGCAAGGGGGTGGACCGGTGCCCTCTTTTGCCTCCAGCTCACTTGGGCCTGTCCTGCTGTCCTGGGGGCAGGCATCTGAGGCTGGGGTGTGGGGAAGGACTCCCGGCAGGCAGGACGTCATGAACGTCAAGTTCTCGGGGACAGAAAACCAGTCACGGTGGCGGCAGCAACGATGTCCTCTGTATACTGT